GGAGGAGACAGTAGGGAGGAGACAGTAGGGAGGCAGCCCTGACAGTAGGGAGGAGACAGTAGGGAGGAGACAGTAGGGAGGCGGCCCTGACAGTAGGGAGGAGACAGTAGGGAGGAGACAGTAGGGAGGAGACAGTAGGGAGGCAGCCCTGACAGTAGGGAGGAGACAGTAGGGAGGAGACAGTAGGGAGGCGGCCCTGACAGTAGGGAGGAGACAGTAGGGAGGAGACAGTAGGGAGGAGACAGTAGGGAGGCAGCCCTGACAGTATGGAGGCAGCCCGCCCACGTGTAGTCCGTTTTGCTGTGGGGAGACTGGCGTCAAGTTGACGTGATGGAGAAATCATGAAAATGAGAAAACAGGCTCCGAAGTTGAGCAATACGACACTTCGAATCACGTACACACACACACACACACACACACACACACACACACACACACACTCACTCACTCACTCACACACACGCGCGCGCGCGCTTTAGAAATAAATCACAGAAAAATACATGATAATACGGTGGAGTAAAATTATTTATTTTTTATTTAATGAAACTAAAAACATCAAAGTTTCGAGAAATAGAAAAAAAACAAAAACAGAAAAACCACCGGGAGGGGGGGGGGGTGTCATTTTTTTTCTTTTTGCTTTCACTTTCATGTGCCGCAGCTGAGAATAGCCTAGTGCGACTTATGTCTGAGTGTGATTGGCTGTGCCACAAATACTGGTCGCTGTCTTGGGGTGTTCGTGAATTGAGAAATGCACTTTGAAATTTCAACATTTAGCAGATGAGTTGGGATTGGAACGGGGAGGGGGGGACAAGAGGGGGAGGGGGGAGGCGGAACTTCCCAGCTAAGAGCTGTTCAAATTAGTTTTGCAATTTCATTACAAAGTTATTTTGCAATTTTATTCTGTATTCATGTTCTGTGTGAAGATTAAGTCTTCATCAAAAAACGGAATGACTTCGGATTTTCAAAATAGATTTCCCAACAAGTTGTAGAAAGTGTTGAACCAATCGATGTCGCACACTTGGGTGACTTATGGAGCATGGTGGGAACATGGACAGCTTGAGCTCAGCACAGGTGGCGCGCCCATAGCGTTTGGTCCTTTTTCTCTCGCCGAGACTGCCCTGAACGCTCACTGAGTCATTCCTCGCCGCACACAAAAGCGCCATTAGGAAATTTTAAAAATTATCAAGTGATTTCCCTGACCTCGAAGATGTTCAAATATGATTACCAAACTGGCAAAGTAAGAAAACATTGTCCCGGTAATGTCTGAACATCTCTCTCGCGCGCCACCACTCTCTCTTGTTGTGC